ACGCTGTGTCAGCAGGTTGAGAGGAGCATTTCCAGCCTCCTGTATGTTCCTCTAAGCAGTTACTGAAGGGCTGGCTATTTCAGCAGCTAAGAATTTATTTTATTTACTTTTCCTAAAGGGGCAAAGTTAATCCTGCTAACAGTGTATGTGTGTGGGGAGAGCCTTTAGTGCAACAGCATTTAATGCAAGAGGTAGACAATGGCTGAGATAACACGGATTTATTGGGAAATTCAGAACCAGTTGAAAGCTGGTTGGAGTTTAGTTCAGTTTTCAGTTAGGAAGGGTGTTACAGCTGTGGAAGGTATGCAACATGCCTGGTGAAGAAGATGCAGTGGGTAGGAGTTGCTAAATAAGACGTACATCTCCCTGTGTAGCAGAGGCTGGGGAACCCCAGAGGCAGATATAATTACTGCACAGCAATCTAAAGCAGCTTTGAGAAAATCAAGCTTTATGGAGCAACCTGCTGGATTGGATTAGGCTGCTGTAAACAATGAATTTCTAAAAATAGCAGTCAAGTGGTGATCAAAGTGTCTGGCACGTGTGAGAGAGGGTAACGTTGGCAGGAGAGCTGGAGGGGAAGGATGGTTTGGGATAAGGGACGCTGCTGTCTTGAAACAGTGACACAAATTCTGGGGTTAGAAAGCAGTTTCAGTGCAGGCACAGCCCTGTGGGACACCAGGGGAGAGCTGTGTGAGTGCTCTGGTGAGCTGTTGAGGGGCATTCCCCAGATGGGGAGGCTCAGGCAGTGTCCCCTGCTCCCTGCCTGCTGTCGGGACTGGGAAGGGTGAAGGTGCCACCAAGGGGGGACATCTCTGGGTGTTCCTGGTGAGAGCACCTCATGGCTCTGGGGTGGGGGATGCAGGCCGGGGTGCTCTGCTCACCCAGACAAGGAACCTGGGGAACAGGGGTGCTGCCAGCACTGTCCTCCCTCCAGCAGGGTGCTCTGGGAGCAGAGGAAAGGTGGTGAACAGGAAAGTAATGGCATGTGTGAGAGAGGCCAGGAGGGAGGGGAAGGGACAGAGTCCTTCCCTCTGCTCCTCCTCTTCTTGATGTGCAGCCAGGCTGACACTCAGGGCAGGAATTACTGACATACACAGTCACCAGATCCGGGGTTTACTCCCAAATAAAGCTGAACTGCCCTTCGGAGCAGCCAGAGTCAGTAAGCTGCTCAGGTGTTAGCAAGTGAGTTGTTTTAGTTTAAAGCAGATAGAATTAACCTGTGGATTGTCTTGGGCGGTTTGAACAAGAATCTGTTGGCCATTAAGGCTGTGCAGTGGGTGTTCTTAGAAAATCCATTTTGCTGCATTTATTGAATGTTAATGTTACTTGGCAAACACCCTTTTGTGCTCTTCAGCAGCAGTAAACCAAACTATTTTTCAAGTTCTCTATGAACACGCAGAGCAGAGCGTGCAGCTGCAGAATCAAGACTCAGTAGGAGACACTCGTGTGTCCAGTTCTGTTTTTGGGTTTGTCTGGACTGCTCTCTGAAGAGCCTTTACCCTCCTGTAGAAGACCTTCTCCACAAAGGGCTTGCAGAGGAACATGTAGATCAGGGGGTCCATGCAGACGTTGGTGGCTGCCAGCCACAGGGTGCTCTCTTTGGCCACGAAGAGCTGGTTCTGCAGGTGGCAGTCCATGTGGGCACTGGTTTGGCTCACAGTGTAGGGCACCCTGCTGAAGTGGAAGGGGGCAAAGCACACGAAGAACACGGTAAAAATGATGAATACTTTCCCCTTGATCCGTTTTTCGCTTCTGTTGCCTGTCTTCTGTGTTTTTACATAGGACTCATATACCTTTTTGGCAATAATGACATAAAATAGCAGCATGAGGATGAGGACGGTCCAGAAGATGAACTGGCAGACATAGTTGACAGCTCCGTGCCATTTGAGCCCGAGGTGACTCTTCAAGGAGGCACACTTCCTCACGGACTGCGGCGTCGCTCTCTTGTTGGACAGGACCATGTTGGGCAGGGAGAGAACGAGGAAGAAGAGCCAGACCAGAGCTGCCAGGATCTTTGCTGAGGTCAGGTTTTGCACCCAGAACTTCCCAAAAGGTCTCACAATCTTGAGAAACCTGTCGAGAGCAATGAGCCCCAGCAGCACTATGCTGATGTACATGGTGTCGTAGAATATCACGGCTGAGAAGCGACAGACAAAGGCCTTGAGCTGCCACGGTCCCAGGCCAGAGTCCGTCAGGATCTTCAGAGGAAGCATCAGGGTCATTATAAAATCAGAAACCAAGATATTTTTCAAGTAGACAATGAAGGTTGATGTGCTTGGAATGTGGAAGAAAGCCCAGCAAGCCAGGCTGTTCAGCACGAGTCCCAGGAGGAAGATGAGGCTGTAGAGCACCGGGAAGAGCAGGTGGGTGACGCTGGTGTCACGGTGGCACTGTGCAGGGGAGGGTGCCCCGCTGCTGTTACCCACAGAGCTCGTGTTTGCAGGGTCTCCCATGGCTGGAAACAGACTTGGGTGAAAAGGAGGGAGAGAACACAAAACACAACCTTCTGTAGGTAGTATTACATGTTCCTTACAGTGACAGCAGGTTTGCACGAATAAACACAAAACCCCAGCGTGTGTTAAACAGCCCAAACAATTCATCTTCTGGTTCATGGAAAACCTAAATCTTTGCTGAAATTTAAATTGTTTGCAAGCTAGCATCCGCTGAAGAGTTAAAAAGGTTCATACTTGTTTTGGAGGCTGAGGGTGTTGTCAGCAGGGTATGAGAACAGACTGCCTGGAGCACTGTGGGCCTTTCCATGGAAATGTATTTTAGCACTGAATGGAAATGTTAGAGCTGTGGCCCAAAAGCCAGCCATTCCTGGGTGAGGGACTTCTGGTAATTCTTTCCAAGCACCCACTCTTCTCCTTCCTCAGCACAGCTTTAGGCAGCATTTCCAAGATCAGATGCACACAGGTGGCTCCCAGCCCTGAGCCCAGCTGCCCGAGCACCCCATGCCACCCCAACACCCTGACCCTGTGAGTACCTGGACAAACCTGCAGCAGCTGTCACAGAGCCCTCTGTGGCTGTCCCCACCTCATCCGCTGCTCCTCTGCCAGCAGAAGCCTCGAGCAAAGTGCTAACAGTGGGGAAATGTAGAAAGATGAGACCTTTTTCTGTTGGTGTGTGGTTTCCTTCCTCATTTCCAGTGTCGCCTGAGTTAGTCACATTTGCTGTTGCTTCTGTCTCTTCCCTTTGCTCTGCGTGAGAAAGCACACCATCTGCTCCCAGACTAGGAAAGGAAACCTGACCCTGCCTCTCAAGACAGACACATTTCTGGGTTTGTGTGTGCGTGGGACAGACCTGCTGCACCTGGGCTGGTAGGATGAACAAACACAGAGTGTTTCCTGGCAGCATCACAGGATAACCCTCAAATGTAGCTCCTAGCTGTAGTTTGTGTGTGAATTCCACGTTCTGGATGGCACCAGTCATTGCCAAAGCGTTACAAGAGTCTGCTCAGAGCCACCTGGCAGTGGTGCTCGGGGGCTGCCCCTCTCCTGCCCTGACACAGGGGCCAGGGCTCGGCTCTGGCTCTCCAGAGGGGATTCCTGGTGGGTGTTTTGGCCCATGCAGGCAGGGGATGCTCCGTGCTGCTCACAGCCCCTTCCTGGTGCTGGCAGGAGCTGCTGCTGCGTGGAGAGCTGTGGTCTGGTGGTGTTTGTTGGGTACAGGCTGGAATTGGGTGCATTTCTCTGAGCAGAGCTGTTTGTGTAGGTTTATTGCTTCCTGCTGCTGGGCCAGCCCTGGCTCAGGGCTCCTGCCACGGGGGCAGTGGCTCCTGTCCAAGCCATCTCCTGGCAGGTGTGGGTTGCTCCAGGAGCTGCTCAGGCTGCAGCTGTGGCAGGGAGTCTGTGCATCAGACCTGGGATATTTTGGTTAATGTGGGTGCTGGTGTCAGTGTCAAAAGGCTGCTGAGAGCAAGGAGCCCTGAGGGTGGCTTCAGTCACCCTCAGCACTGTCACCAGTGTGATGTGTCCCTGGCCACCAGACCTGCCTTCTGCTCCCCACTGGTGCCCAGGTAAGGGTGTCACATCCCCTGCAGTGCCCAGCACTGGTGTCCAAGGCAGTGCCTTCCGTGCTTTCTTCCCAGCTGAGCCCTTGACGCTGTCAGAGGCAGCAGGTACCTGTGCACACCCACCCGTGGTGGCTCTGGGGACAGGTGTGTGTGGTGTCTGTTGTCTGGACAGCTCACCTGACCAGGGAAAGCAGCTCCTGGCTAATTGCCACTCTCTCTCCACGTGTAGGTGCAAAATAGGTGCAGAATGAGTTCTGGGTGGGAGTGGGGCATGTGGCACTTCCCTCCCTGGGCACTACTGGGAGCTGACCTGCCCAGGGCCTGTGGGCTGCTGGGGGAGCAGGCTCTGGGGTGGCTGGGCACTGTTCCAGGGCAGTGCTGGTGCTCTGGCTGCACCCCAGGCACGGTCTGTCTCAGCTGGAGCGGGCACAGTTTGGGGCAGGGTGAATCCATCCCAGCGGGCTGGAGAGATGCACAAACCCCAAGGCCGAGGGTGGCGGTAGGTGAGCAACAAGTGAGCTGCCTTTTGACTTCTTAGGAAATTGTGTTTTGGTTGCAGAAGAGCCCTGGCAGGCAGGGACATGTCCCAGGAGGGATGGACAGGCCGTGGCTTTGGCAGGATGAGCTCTTGTGTGGTGGGGACACCCACTGCTCAGCTGGAGCTGTTTGCAGAGGGGATAAATGAACCACAACATATCCCAATAGCCCACAATCTATTTCATGTGCAGTTGCTGTGATACCTCAAAATGTCATGTACTTAAAAATACTTCCCTGACTTTTTTCAATTTTTCCAAGTGCTAAAACGGAAGTGGGTGAGTATTTTGTATAGTGGAAAAAGCTGCCCTTAATTATCAGTAAAGGAGTTACCATGAGCCTGTCTTTCCCCAGGATCTCAGTATGATGTAAATCAAGTGTTTTTGTGTTTTCTGATATAAAGTTCTCTGTAAAAACATACAGTTTTGTTTATTTATGTAGTAAAGGGAAGGATTTGGGGATTTAGTAATATCAAGATAAGCCTGATTATGAAATAATTTCCTCTGAAATACAACTATTAATTATTGGTCAATGGATTAGGAACTGCAAGCATAGAATGAGATAAGCAGTGTTATTCTGTTACCAAAAATCTGCCCAAATGGCTGTCTCTAAGTTTCTGTTTGTCTGCCAGTTGCATACAAGGTGACAACTCCCTGTATTGAAAAATCACATCTACTGCGGATTTTATCTGCATTTCTCAGGTCTTGTGTTGTCGTGAACTTTACTCTGGCCCAAGTTTAGCTATTTTTGCAAAATCTTTACAGTTCATGGTATCATCTGTAGCATTTCATGGTTCTAGGTTTTTCCTGACAGTTCCACCTTTGAGTTCAGACTTGTTCCCAGCAGTCCTGACAGGCGTTGGGGTCTGGGAGCTCCTGGTTTGGCAAGGCTGGGGGCTGGGGCCGGGGGACTCCTCTGGTATGTAGCTCTCTATTTTTGCAGGAGTGGTGGTGGCTCCAGGGGGCTCGTGCTTCCATCTGCAGGGCTGTTTCTAGAGAAATGGGTGGAGTTCTGGGTGCTCCTGCTGGATTTGTGCTCCTGCCACCCTCGGTGAGCGTCTGTGGCCAGGAAGGGGCGTGCAGCCCTGAGAGCTAGAGCGGCGTCTCGTCGGTGTCATCCCCCTCGTTCTGCCCCTTGGCCTGTGCCCCCAGCCCTGCCCCTGCCCTGTGCTTGCACAGCATGTCCAGCAAGGACTTCCTAAATGATTTGCAAAGGAAAAAGTATATGAAGGGATCCAGGCAGGCGTTGAGGGACGTCAGCCACAGCGTGGTCTCCTTCAGGTAGAACAGCGTGTTCCGAGCAGAGCAGTCAAACACATCTCTCGTTTGGCTCAAGGTGTAGGGGATTCTGGTAAAGTGGAATGGCACAAAGCAAATAAAGAACACAGCAATTATTATGAAAACCTTGAAATTGACAGTCTTTTTAGATGCCTTCCCTGTGCATCGTGTCCTTTTGTAGGATTTGTACAGTTCCCTGCTGATGAGGATGTAACATACCACTATGACTGCTAGGCTCACCCAGAAGATGAGCTGACAAATGTAGTTCACAATTTCATGCCAGACTAAGCCAAACTCTGATTTCAGGAGAGCACACTTCCTCACGTTCTTGGGTGTTTTCTTCTTATTATTTAAGATCATGTTGGGTAGCGAGAGAGCAAACATTGACACCCAGATTGCTGTGGACAGGATCTTGGCAGCTAAAAGGCTGCGTGGAGTTGATGTTCTGAAAGGGGAAGTGGCCTTCTGGTAGCGATCAATAGTTATCAGACCAAGAAAGAGGATGCTGATGTACATGGTGAAGTAAAACACCACCTGGGTGACCTGGCACACAAACCCCCGCAACACCCAGGACACCAGCTTTGCATCACTGAGGATTTTAAATGGAAAAGTCAAGATCATGAGGAAGTCGGAAATCACAGTGTTCTTGAGGAAGATGATGAAATTGGATTTACTGGATATTTTAAAGAAGACCCACATTGCCAGGCCATTCATCGTGGTCCCCACCAGGAACAGAAATGTGTAGAGTAAGGGGAAGATGACTTGGCTGATCCTGCTGTCGCTGGTGCAGTTGCTGTCATTCCTGAAGGAGCTGAAGTGGATTGTGGCTTTCATTTGCATTGTGGTTATTTCTTCTGCCTGGAGAAAAAAAAAAAAAAAACAGGAAAAAAAAGAAATTGAGAGTTTTGTCTTTTATGAGGCTTCAGCCTTTTCAGTCAGTTTTGAATGGCTGTGTTGTGAACAAATGCACTCTGCTGGTGGGCTGCTCTCAGGTGTGTGGTGTGCAGCTGCCTCTGTGCCAGTTTCTGTGTCTGGCCTCTGCCTGTGTAAAACAGGCACTCAGGGGAATTGATGTGCTCCCAGCTGACGCCCAAATCCCTGACAAAGTCTAATTTCTTCCTAGGAAGTAGGAAAAAACCAGCTTTTTCTTTGAAAGCTGTCTTTTCCTTTGCAGAACGGAGCAGGTTGCTCTGGCAGGCCGGTGCTGTGGGCAGAGCTGGGCAGGCTGTGCCCCCAGCCCGGGGCAGGTGCCGGGAGGAGCCGGAGCTGCTGGCAGGGCTGCTCTCAGCGAGGGGGTCCTTGGCAGCCCTGCAGCCCTCCAGCGTGGCCCTGGGAGCGGGCAGAGGCAGGAGGAGCAGCTCAGATGCCAGGCCTGGGGCTGAGAGCTGCCTCCGGCTCTGGGCGGCGGTCGTGGCCAGAGACAGCTCCCGATTCCAGATGATGCACCGTGCGCTTCTGCTTCTGTTTTCTGCAGAAAAGAGAGAGAAATGAAATTCAAAGAAATATTTAGCAGATTGCTTCCTGCCTTTGACTGACTCCCAGAGGCACTATTTATAAAGGGAGCGGGAATTTGTCAGATTGTGCAACTTTTCTGAGCACGGAGCTGCGTTCCTGTCTGTCCCTTTTGGCCTTGTGAGTCCTGAATGCTATTTCTGTACACAGCCTTGTTCCTTAAAACTTTTAAAGCACTTGAAAGAAGTAGTGATTTGTTTCTTTGGGGAATATTATTTAAGGAAATATTTCTTCCTTATGTGACTTGTAGGGCAGTGCTTCAGGTTTTAAGCTACATACAGTAAGTCAACATTATATGATATATACATGTAATTGAAAGACTGAATATAAACAGTTACAATGAAATAAACAACAGTTACAATGAAATAAACTACACATTTCAATTTCTTTGGGATGTGCAAGACACCACTTTAAGATCTGCATCTTTTTTTCAATGGATTTGTATGTAGTAAGTGTCAGCTTCTAATCCTCTGTCTTCTGTTTGCTGATCTGCTGCAGAGTGTTGATCCATCCCAGAATTTGGTTTTCTCCTCCTGGCAGTCACGGGGAGAGGGCTGAGCTGCTGCCCTGCCCCATGGTGCTGGGGATGACCAGCAGCTGCCACAAATCCCAGTTTTCCATTGAAGCACCTGGCTGCAAACAGTGTGTGCGGGCTGAAGCCTGGAATGTGAGTGATCCATGTCCCTTACCCTCCTGGTGGCACTTGCAGCTCTTCTGGACTGTCACCTCTTTGCTCTGGGATAACCTCATGGTAGCTCTGACAGCGTTTCATGCTCTGGTGTGTCTGTCACAATTATAATGGAAAACTGGGGCAAGGAGGGTTTGTCTAGTCGTGAGTACACCTTTACTAAGGTTTTTATTGCCTTTTAAATCAGTAACAATGGAAACGTGCTAGGGCTCCATGAAATATAAAATTACTGAGGTAACCATTTATATCTGTTCAGTTGAGGGTGAAGGACAGAAGGCCGGGAAGACCAAACCAGAGGAGACCAGCTCACAAAACTGCAGCAGTTGTCCTACTTTGCTGAACATCAGGTGCCATCTCAGGTAGTGTGGCAAACGGTGACCCTCGGGGTGCTGCTGTACCTGAGGGGCCCTCAGTCACCTCTGACTTCTGGCATTCCTGTTCCCAGACCTCCAGCAATCTCCACGAGCAGATGCCCAGCTTTGCCTCAGGAACGTCGCACCACCTGCCCTTGGCTCCTCTTGGATCTCGTGGAGCCAGCACTGAGCAGCAATGGGCTCACAGACTTTGCAGAACAGGTGAGCAGAGCTCATTCGAAGGAGTCATGCCAGGACAAAGCTGCAGTACATTTTCTACGAAGCCAGAAAAACCCCAAGGTCTGGACTGCAAATTCCCCAGATTTGGTGCCATGTGCTTGTGTCTGTTTCAGCTTCCTGTCCTCTGAAACAGAATGCCAGGCACTTCTCCTTTCTCTGGTACTGTGATAGCTGTGGGGAATCAATACATGCATTTTCTTTTTAAATCTTTCAAAATTAATAAAATTCTAGATTATTTTAGCACACAGGTTGTTAGGATGGGCTTTGCTGTTTTTGACCAAACCATGATATTACTCACTAACACATCTGATTGCCTGCAATGCTGTGGATTTCTGAGGAGTAGCTCTGAGGGGTGGTTTTTCTACTTTAACCATTTATTTGGCTCCCTCTTCTCCTTGTTTTCTAGTGAATTGCATTTTTTGTTGCCACACAGTTTATCCGTAGTGTGTTTTGGGGGTTGTTATTGCTCCTGTTTTAGGTGCTATACTTGGCACTACTTTCAGTTTGTTGTTGGTGTGTGTTCTCAGCTGCTGAGCGAGCGGAGCCTGCTGGAGGCTGAGCTGCACCACGGGCTGGGTGTCAGCATGGTGGCCTCCTCCTCCTCCTCCTCCTGCTCCTGCCCAGCTCCGAGCAGCTGCACAGCTCCTCCGAGGGCTGCTGGCAGCTGTGCCTCTCTGAAGAAGGGGTTTGCTCTCTCTTCAGCCCCTGGGTTCAGTACAGGTGTGGCAGTGCTGCAGGTGAGCTCAGGGCCGTGTCTCACAGCCTGTGGCCACTGCCAGGGCTGCTGGGTCCCCCCCCGTTTTAGCCCTGGCCAGCGAGGGGGTGTGCATCCCCATCTCCTGCCCCTGGCCCCCTCTGGCTCCCTGGGGCCTCTGCCACAGGTGGCACCAGCTGTGAGGCCGGGGCTGTCACCTTCCCCAGCGGACAGAGGGGTCGGTGGGATCTGTGACAGTTTGGGACACGATTCTCGGGTGCATCGGGCAAACGCGGGGTGCTTTTGTTTGCAGGTTGTGTGGGGCGGTGAGCACGCTGTGAGTCCCTCTGGGGGTTCCTCTCCAGAACGATGTTTTAGCTTACCTGTACAACCTGTACGTGCCCTGCAGCCGCCTGAGGAGCTCGTTTGGAGACCTGTTCGGGTGGGTGCTGAAGGAATTGCTGTCACCCCGCCCACAGGCTGGTGCGGGCTGCTGCGGTTTCCCTTTGCTTTGCATCCCGTGGAAACGCCGCGGTCTTTGCAGCCCTCGCTTCACTGCTGCAGCTGCTCTGCCCGTGCCCGGGGGATGTGCGGTGCCCGGGGGATGTGCGATCCCTGAGTAGGTGCGGTGCCCGGGGGATGTGCGGTGCCCGGGGGATGTGCGATCCCTGAGTAGGTGCGGTGTCGGGGGGATGTGCAGTGCCCGGGGGATGTGCGATCCCTGAGTAGGTGCGGTGTCGGGGGGGATGTTCTGTCCCCTGAGGCTGTGCGGTCCCTGAGGATGTTCGATCCCCGGGGGATGTTCGGTCTCTGGGAGCTGTGCGGTCCTGGAGGATGTTCTGTCTCTGGGGCTGTGTGGTCCCTGGGGGGTGTTCGGTGCCCGGAGGATGTTCGGTCTCTGAGGATGTTCAGTCCCCGGGGGCTGTGCGGTCCTGGAGGATGTTCGGTCTCTGGGGGCTGTGCAGTCCCGGGGTATGTTTGGTCCCGCAGGATGTGCGGTCCTGGAGGATGTTCTGTCTCTGGGGCTGTGCGGTCCCTGGGGGGTGTTCGGCGCCCGGAGGATGTGCGGTCCCTGAGGATGTTCCGTCCCCGGGGGATGTTCTGTCTCTGGGGCTGTGCGGTCCTGGGGGCTGTGCGGTCCCTGGGGGGTGTTCGGCGCCCGGAGGATGTGCGGTCCCTGAGGATGTTCGGTCCCCGGAGGATGTTCGGTCTCTGGGGCTGTGCGGTCCCGGGGGCTGTGCGATCCCTGGAGGATGTTCTGTCTCTGGGGGCTGTGCGGTCCCGGGGGCTGTGCGGTCCCTGAGGATGTTCGGTCTCTGGGGGATGTTCGGTCCCTGGGGCTGTGCGGTCCCTGGAGGATGTTCTGTCTCTGAGGGCTGTGCGGTCCCTGAGGATGTCCGGTCTCTGGGGGATGTTTGGTCCCTGGGGCTGTGCGGTCCCTGAGGATGTTCGGTCCCCAGAGGATGTTCGGTCCCTGAGGCTGTGCGATCCCTGGGGCTGTGCGGTCCTTGGAGGATGTTCTGTCTCTGGGGCTGTGCGGTCCCGGGGGCTGTGCGGTCTCTGAGGATGTTCGGTCCCCGGGGGATGTTCGGTCTCTGGGGCTGTGCAGTCCCGGGGTATGTTTGGTCCCGCAGGATGTGCGGTCCCTGGAGGATGTTCTGTCTCTGGGGCTGTGCGGTCCCGGGGGCTGTGCGGTCCCTGGAGGATGTTCGGTCCCCGGGGGATGTTCTGTCTCTGGGGCTGTGCGGTCCCGGGGGCTGTGCGGTCTCTGAGGATGTTCGGTCCCCGGGGGATGTTCGGTCCCGCAGGATGTTCGCTCTCCGGGGCTGTGCTCGGGGAGCGGGGGCTGTGCTCGGGGGCTGCTCTGCCCGCAGCCCGGGACCCTCTCGGTGCAGCCGAGCCCCGGCATCAGGCCCCTCACCCCGCTGCCCCCGCGGGCTGGGGGCGCCCGGCTCGGTGCTGGGGCAGCTCGGCTGCAGCGCAGGCAGCGCTGGCTGGAAGAGCTGCCGCCGCTGCACTGCTCTCTAAGGGCTTCCTTTGATGCGGGGAGAGGCACTAATGTGTTTGAGTCTGTGAAGCTTTATGCTTGGGTGTTCGGTTCCTTGGTTTTTAAGTTAAAAAATAATTAGGTTCCCGTATGGCATATTTTTGGCTTTGACTTTGTAAAGGAGGAATGGAAAACTTTCAGATGCAAATCCACGTATTGTGATGCTCACAAACTGCCCCAGTTGCCGTTTCCCCTCCTGGTTTGTGTCCCTAGTTGGGCTCTGCAGAGTTCAGGTTTGTGGTTCCATTTCATAGGGAGCAGGAAAGTATTTCTCAGTAATAATATTTTAATAGGCTTACAGACACCTGGCAGCAGTAGGGTTTAATCAGAAACACCAGGAAAAAGAAATAGGAAATATAGAACTGCACAAGTGTCTGAGCTCTATGTTAATTTCTTCTGCTTACAAGCTAAACTTCAGTAACACAACAAAAATAAGTTTTGTTAACGTTGATCTACAATAACAAGTCAGAACAGGCTCTAGTAATGATACAAGATATTAAAGAATTTGTTAAAGATATCATACACAGAACTTGTTTGGAAGGACCTTTTTTTTAGTCAAGTGGAGTTAGAAATTCCTGAAAACTGTTACTAAAATTTATGTATACATTTTGAAACAGCTTGTTGGTCTCCTTTCAAAGCACCCAGCCCCCGTGCATGTTGACAGTAACATTTTCAGCTCCTTTCTAGCCTGCTGTAAGCCCAGCTGTTTCCCTCAGTCAGTTTGAGGCAATAATAAATTACAATTCACAAATGCTCACATTTAGAGACTCACCCTCTGTGGATTGCGGTGCCCTGCTCTCCTCTGCAGTGTCTTCTGAGCGTGTCAGTGAGGGAGGGGTGTGTTTGGTTTGGTGTGCCTGGAACAGTTACTTATCTTCCCTAAACTTCCTCTTTTGAAAGAATTCTTTCACTTTTTGAAAAGATTCTGTCTGCTGACCACTCCTTCAGTATTGCTTCTGGTGCGTGTGTCTCAGAGTGGAACACTCAGTGGATTTCTGTCTGTGCTGTTGCACTGGCTGTAGAGCAGAGGGTTGACATCAGGCACTGTCCTTGTAATTAATTACCCTGCTAATGACCTCGTCCTCCTGCCCTGGGGTATCAGGATGTGGAGCAGCATGCAAGGGCTGGCAGTGACGGGGGTCCCAGGGCTGCAGGAGATGTTTTAAGGTAACTTCAATTCATAGATTCTTTTCAGTAATGAGGAACTCTTCCCAGTTGGGCTAATTAGTGACATTTGTCCCTGTGACATAAAACTTTGTGCTGGAGACAAACACTCCTGGAATATTTTGGGTGTGAAATTTGCATTCCTCACTAACACCTATTTTTCTCCACTTCACATAGTGGTGTTCCTGGCCTGGGACAGTTCTTGCCCTTGTGTCTAATCATTAATGTCAAAATATGAGCTTCAAGTGTCTTTTCTCTATTTACTGATTTCCAGACCCTGTTTCTTACATCATCTTATTATCAAATATAGCCTTTAATTTGGATAAATTTTCTCATTTCTCCTTAATGAATACCCTCTGCCCCAGTGCAGCTCCCTGGGTCATGACACAGGAGAGGGTGGCAGTGCTGGGAAGTGAGGCTGTGTGCCTGTAGGGACACCTGATGTCCCAGGAAGGTGCTGGGGAGGAGGCTGAGGAGCCTTACCCAGCTGCTCACAATTTCAGTCCTAGAGGTGTCCAAGAAGTGATTTGGAAGTTCAAGGCTTTGTTTGCAGGAAAACTTGAACGAACTAGGTGTATCAGCCTTATTATCTGGTAGATGCTGCTTATCCAAAATGAGCTTGAAAATGTGTGAGAAGTGCTAACCAGGCAGGGTTTGGGCATGTGTGAGAAGTGCTAACCACTCAGGGTTTGGGCATGTGTGTGAAGTGCTAACCAGGCAGGGTTTGGGCACGTGTGAGAAGTGCTAACCAGCCAGGGTTTGGGCATGTGTGAGAAGTGCTAACCAGGCAGGGTTTGCCATGCAGCAGCTTTCCTGCCGTGTGCATTTGCAGAGCTCAGGTTCTGGTCCCCAGCAGTGCGCGTTCCCAGGTGGAGCAGAAGATCTGCAGCCACATCCAGCCCCCAAACTCCAGCCTGCAGCGGGATCCGGAGCTCATACTGGATTTCCTGGAGAGCCCTCAGCCCCCAGCATTAACTCCTGGGTGCTGGGCAAGGTCCTGGTGCCGAGGCAGCCCTGCTGGGCTCTGCAGGGCAGCAGGCTGGGCAGGTGACCCTGCTGGGCTCTGCAGGCATCCCTGCCGCCTGCTTGTCCGTGCCTTGCCTTTGCCATCGCTGTCACTTTCATCCCTGTGCTGGAAATGTGTAAAGCACTCTCAGTTAGTTTGTTGAATCAGTCTGTGCAGGTTCTCAGAAGGGAGGGAGGAGCAGCAGGCGCTCGCTGTCAGACAGGAGCAGTTTGGTATCAGCAGCTGTGCAGTTCCAGGCTGAACAGCTCAGGACAACCTTTGCCTGTTTGAAGTCTGGAAATGAGGGCAGGTTCTGCATTAGGTCCTTGCCTACTGTTACAATGGGTGTTTTGTTTATTAAATGTGTAATTTATGGATTAAGTCTACATAGGTTTACGAAAAATCTGGTTGTTAAAAGTAATATGAATTTTTATTGGGGGAATGGCTTTAAACTGGCAGAGACTAGATTTACATGGGATACGAGAAGAGAAATTCTTCCCTGGGAGGGTGGGCAGACCCCAGAGCAGCTGTGGCTGCCCCTGGATCCTGACAGTGCCCAAGGCCAGGCTGGACACTGGGGCTGGAGCACCTGGGGCAGGGGAAGGTGTCCCTGCCATGGCAGGGGTGGCACTGGGTGGGATTTAAGGTCCTGCCAACCCAAACCAGTCTGGGATTCTCTGGAGTGTGGGGCATCCTTGGCAGGGCAGAGCAGCTGAGAGGAAGCAGTGTTGTAAGAGCACAAAAGGGAACATCTAAATGCAGCCAAACGAGTTTCACTCTAGAGTAGAGAGAACATAACTTGCACTGGGCTGAGTCAACTCTGCTGTTTGTTAAGCTGTTACATAAACCTGAATCATGCCCCAAATCCCACATTACACCGTATGGCATCTCTGAAGTAAAACTCTTTAATGCCAATGGATTCTGTGGCTTGTCTCCCTCCTGATGGCAGTGCTGGCCAGGCAGGGGGAAGGGTCCTGCAGTGACCTGTCACAGTGGCATGAGCTGGGGAGGGGTGCCTCACACCCGGGGTGTGTGCACTGCTGCGCGAGACCCTGCAGTGTTTGTCCTGCCAGGTGAGTGACCTGTCCCTGCAGGTGTGTGACTGTCCCCACAGGTGAGTGACCTGTCCCTGCAGGTGTGACTTGTCCCTGCAGGTGTGTGACTGTCCCCGCTGGTGTGTGACTGTCCCCAGAGGTGTGTGACCTGTCCCTGCAGGTGTGTGACTGTCCCCACAGGTGAGTGACCTGTCCCTGCAGGTGTGACTTGTCCCTGCAGGTGTGTGACTGTCCCCGCTGGTGTGTGACTGTCCCCAGAGGTGTGCAGGTGTGTGGCTGTCCCCACAGTTGTGTCACTGTCCCTGCAGGTGTGTGGCTGTCCCCGCAGGT